ACATACACATACATGAAAAAAATAGTGTATTTAATGTTAAAGAACCACAATGTCTACATTTCCCAACGCATTTCACAGGTGACCATCTTTTCATTATTTTTTTAAAAAAGCTGAGAGTTTAATGTCCTTCTGTACTCTATTAAAACACTAAGTGATCTTTAACAATTAGGCATTAAATCATCAGACTGAGCTCGAGCAGTCCACAGTGGAGATTTGCTACAATGACGACTTTAATTACACTTTCTGTCATTGATCGCAGGCCCTGGCTTCCCTGGCTTCCCTGGCTTCTCCACCCACCGCTGTACAGGTTGTTTTTTTAAGCTCAGGGTCAGCATGTTTATAAAAGGGAACAGCACGAGAAACTCTGTAGACTTTGCTTCTCTAAGTGAAGCAGCCACGTATTAAACTTTTATTTTCAGTCAGATAAGCTGGCCTGGCTTCAACCCTAAAGAAAAACTCCAAGATGTTCAGGCAGTCATGACAGCAGAGGTGAAGCCTTCATTACTGGATGCTTTCCTTCCAGTCATCCTTACTTCTTTCCTTTAGTTGATGAAGGGATTAACAGATAACTGAAAGCATATTCAAATGAAGAGCTATGCGTTACCACTTACACTAAAAAAAAAGCTGTTTGCCTGCAATGTAGGCACATGGGGGCCCACATGGGGGCCCACACCCCACTGCAATCAACCTTTGTGATGCATGATGGGAAAATAATTACTTTGCCATTAATATATCACACAGGCTATATATATATATAGTTTAATCATTATCTTGCCAATACAAGGACAATCAAAGGAGCATGATCCTGTAATAAACAATGCTTTAATATAATTAGCGGATCTCTGTTGGCCCAGTGTGAGTGTATTTTGACCTTGCAGGTTAGACTAATGAAATTAGCACCCGTGCGTTTGTGCGCTCTAAGTCCAGTAACGTCAGGATGTGAGAGGGTCGAGTCTGTAGTAGGATTTATTTACCTATGTCGAAGCGGTTGATTCATCAGCGGGGAATCAATTTCTCCACAGCAGGCTGGCTGAGCACACAGTGCAGAGGTGGTGCGCGGAGCATCAGATGCAGCACAAACACCGGGGAAGGAGGGGGGGCACGAGTCCGGGTTCCACCCCTGCAGATGCGGCAGGGAGGCGAGCGAGCTCAGCGGGCTGCCGGCGGGAAGCAGAGCGGCAGACTTCACCTTCCTAACGCGCCGTCCAATGCTTTTCAGAGACAGGAGTTGAAAGATCCTGCAGGGCGGAAGCTGAGGGGGAAAGTGCGACTGAATTGGTGGTGTGCATAATTTTCCTATCTGGCCTTAAAGCTGTTGCCTATTGCGTTTTATCTCCACCGGGTTCAGGAGAGCGGGAGAGATGGCATGGTAAATAAAGTAGTAGCACTCAAACTGAAGAGGTTCAGCCCCCTTTGACAACACAAAAACACCCCTCGGTGGGCATGGAGTACGGGAGTGTGAGCCCAGTCCAGACAAAAACAACCGACACGGGTCTAATGAGTCATTTGATTAACATTTTACGTGCCTGAGTAGCTTTAAATATTCATAAGGCTTCTGTCAGGCTCATGTTGATGTAACCATAATTTACCCCCACAGTGCCGTTACACATGGCTACATATTGATATTATCCAAATCACGATGCTATCATAGAGAACTGACTCCAAATTTGCAAATTATACTGACAGGGAATTCCCACCTGTTCCTATGAGGAGGAAACCAGTATGTGTGGCAGTTGGTGATCAAGTGTTATTTAGGCCACAGGATTTTAGCTATTCGGTGCTTTAGTGATATGAAAGTAACTAGTTACATTTCCAGAAACAAGTGGCACTCACTGAAAATAGAGTGTATTTATAGAGGACCAAGACTGCCGACAAATGTACGAAAATTATCATAATAAATGCCCAGTTTGACAATAAATGAAGCCCTTATTTGATTATAGACATTTTAGGTTTAACTGGCTTTCAACTTCATTTGGGTTTACTTTCGTTTTAATATTAATATATTTATTTCTGTATTTACTTAAGAAATACAAAACTATCAGCCCACCTTTTTATTCTCACATAATTTTTTTACATATTCACTTCATTATGCAAATGAGGATGTTATATAAAGTGGTCACATGTTTACTTTCTAGCTACCAGGTTCATTTAGTAACCTGAGCTAAAGCTAACACCGTCAATCTGCAATAAGTTACGCAATATTCCTTTTAAGACCAAATACTACAAATATAAATATATACAAAATTAAATCCTGTTCAATGCATACAATAATAAACCAGCTCATTTAAAAGATTTTATTTGAAATGATTTTTAAATACAAATAATATAGTTTTTCATTTACAATGACAGTTCCTTTGTAAACAAAAGTGGCAGATAATCATTGGGTAGTCATTTGTCCAAACTGAGGCAACTTGCCGGCCAGTTGCCTGGATAAGGTCTGTCATGGGTGGGATGGCGTATTTTACCTCACTGCATTCTCCCCCCACAGCATAAATCACTGATGCTACATTCTATTGCAGAGTGATAAATACTCAGATTACAATATTACTTGTTAGCGCACACCTGCTCTGAACACAACTACAGATGGGTATAGTTTGCACATGTGAGATTGTGTGAATGCGTATGTGGTGCGAGGAGAGCATGCTTAAACTTTCATCTCTCCCACACTGACATGATACACTAGTAAGCACTGTAAAAAATAAAATAAAATAAACAAAAAAAAACAAAACAAAAAACACACAACTGTATGGATATTTGTGGTGATAGATTACACATTACTGAAACTGCCAAGTTGCCAGGATACAGCAAGAGCCCACAGAATTACTCAAAGTAACTCTCTTTTTTTTTTTCCTTCCCAAAGTCTAACACATGTAAAAATCAAGGTTCGATTACAACAAAACCGGACACACATTTATGTATTACATGATTAACGGAAAAAATATCAATGAAAGTGGGAGCCTGAGCTGCTCTGTGTGCCCCAGACAAATGGAAAACTCCCAGGTTTGGTTAAAAAAAACAAAAAAAACAAACTACTCAATCTGACATGGCAGTAACTGCAAACCTAAGCCTGTTCTGCTTAAGAAAAAAAAAACAAAAAGCAAGTTTAACAGTTTTTTCCCCAGATGAGTGCTGTGTGTGTCTCTCTAACGGGGATATCATACTCACTTTTACACTCACAATGCACATACAACTGCAAAATAACTGTACTTATGGGAGGTATTGTGATGACAAAATCAGTGATATGTATCCCAATACTTATGAGCTACAGGTTATCAAATAAAAAGAAAACCAACACTAAAGATTCTTACACCAGAAATTTTTTTTTTTTTTTACTTCTCTCTCAGGAACCAGTGGTGCATAGCACCCAAGGACTTGTATGTTGCAGTATTTTAGTTGTATTCGTAAGGCCTTTTTCCAGACAAGGAGTACACACTGGAATGTGTGGCAAAAAATAAAAATAAAATAAAAAAATAAAAAAAGGAAAAAAGATTGAGATAAGAGAAGTAACTATGTAACGCTCTCCCTCTAATACATTTATATATATTTTGACATCAGTATCTTATCTCCAAAAAAGACAGAAGACACACCTTTTAGTGTTAAACTAAAAGATGACTCATTCAAACAAACCCTAACACTGCAAGTTTTGTTCAGCTTCCCCTCCAGTTACATTTGAGATCACATTTCAACTCGAGCTCCACCTGCTTTCAATCAAACGTCTTCTCTTTCAGAAAAATAAAAAACATTTTAAAGTGAATCACGCGGGGAGAAGGGGCATCACTTACAGGACTGGCTGCAGATCAGCATCCATCTGTGGAGATCTCTGTCAAAAATACGTGTACGGACAAACGAATGGCTGATTTGACAGTGGAAGTAAGTAAATATCCCAAATGGCTGACTTGGTTGCGACGTCCAAAAGCAGGACTGAACTTCGCGCTTCTGCAGTATAAATGTACAATAGAAAGCATCACTGCTGTGGAAAACATTGGTGCTGAGCATTATTAAAAACAGGAGCAAAGTGTGTTGAGAATGATTTCCATACGGAGATCAGCATTTTTAATTTTGCAGATGGAATTGGCGGTTATACATCCCCACTCCCTGTCAAGAAAAGAAGAAAAGAGCCAATATAATAATAATAATTAGAATTCTAACAATAGATCCTCCAGTCCACAGTGTGTCCATTTGCCATACCTGTACAAAGACACAAGGTTACATACCATTGACGCACTCGCACGCACACCCGCTCACAAACACACACACACACACACACACACACACACACAACAGGCCTGTTAGTATTCACAGAATTCTCTTCCGCCAGCAGCGGAAAGTGAATAAACAAGTCTCTGTAGAAAAGAGAATTTCGGGGTGTCGTGGTTCAGGTCACAGTCCATGACTTTGCAAAGGTTAAATGGAGGAGGGCTCTGTGTGTAGAAACTGTCCCCGGTGACTCTGTGAGTGTTTGTGGCTTCGCTGCTCCTCACTGACTGCTTTCTGGCTTGAGCAGGGTCAGCAGTGAATGTGTGGCCAAGTCCATGAGAGGGTAAAGGGAGGAGGGAGGGGAGGGCTGAGCGCGTACGCACGCGCTCAGTCGTTGTCCTCATCGTCATCTTCACTCTCCTCGATGCCGTCGCTGTCCTCTTGCTCCTCGTCCTCCTCCTCTGTGTCAGGGATGTCCCACTGCGGGTGGTTGTCCAGAATGGCCTTGGCCTCGTGGACCTCCAACTGCACAAACACAAAGCAATTGTGTTATCATCATTGCAATTAACACTTCGAGTCTGTGCATATTATTTAAGGTGATTTGTAGATTATTACAAATGCTAGCATGTGCCTCAATATGACTTAAGATGCTCTTGGAAAACCGATAAGGAAATATTGTAACACAATACTGGGAAAAATGACCTGTGCACCTACATGAAATGTTAAGGATCACATGGGAATCTAGGAAATGTACAGCAGCGGTTCCTGGTTTACGGCATTTAAAATGTCAATTAAGCAAAAGGTTGCTGGTTTAATTCCAGTTACCTGCTGTGGCGACCCCTTGTGGCAAGGAAGCAGCTAAAAATATTGGTGTAATGTATGAAGTATATCAGCCAATATTTGCTGATCTATCAGAGTCAGTATTATATCTGCTGTTAAGTAAATTAACACCAAGCCAACTAATTATCTGACCTCGCTCTGATTTTAAGTGACTGTCTTTCCCAGTCAGTTCCACTTTGTTATAAAACCACTAACAGCTGACTGGAATATTTAGTAGTGATTAAATTTCACGAATGGACTTGTGCCATCACTGTATCAAAACACCGTGAGCTCGTGAGAGTGACCCCCTTTTTTTGTTGTTTTTAAAAAAAATGTTGTTAGAAGTCCGCATTCTAATACTTTTGGCAATATAGAGTATATATTCTCCAATACATCTGATTTTTTAAATATATTAGTCTTAAAAATTCTCTCTGTGTTAGGCTCTAGTAAAGAGCCTGCAAGTGTTTTAACTCTTTCTCGCCAGTGCATCATTTAATTTATGCATTTAGTGCTTGGCCCACATGTTGTGCTTTATGGTTATTATGGATAACCTCCTCTCTGCCTGCAGAAGCGCTATCGGCCACTGACAATGGCTGACAAACTTTCATATAACACAAGGTCATTGAAAAATATATATAAAAGATGTAGTGCCAACCAGAATCCCCATTCAAAGATGTTCTACACATTTTTTTGTGTAGAACATCTAAATACACATCCAAATACTGGATGAAAATTAGGTACTAAACAAGTCATTTTATAGTATGTCTGTACGACATTGGCATTGACATTTTTTCCACTGCAAGCACCACATGCTTTCAGAATGAAACCAATCACATACTAGGTTCAAGTCTAATTTGAATAACATTGATCTGAAGATCCTGCATTTTAAGATAAAGGTGAGCAGCTATGAAATAAATAAATTCTTGACCGGTAGAAGAAACACCAAACCTTAAGTGCACTTAAAGTGAACTGCCTACAACAATACAAATCATATTGCTTCTGGCTAGCAGTCAATACCCTCATTCCTAACATCTTGGCAGCAATCAATACCATTGTTCAGTGAGCCTCAGCTACATTTGGCTGCAGCTGGTGGGTTTATTATTCCAGCCACTTTGGTAGCGAAGACCCATCATATCCCGGACAATTTGAACTGATTGGCTGACGGAAGGCCCCCCCATTTACACACACTAATAAAAAGGCACACACATACACACCTTGAGTGGTTTGATCTGGTCCAGTCCTAAGTAGGAATCAGAACGAAGGATAACAGAATATTGGTAGTTGCCCGTTTTGGAGGGGGCTGAAAACTTGAGCTCCACCTGGAAAAAAACCCATGGACAGACACACACGCACACACGCGCACACGCACACACACACACACACACACACACACGTACGTTAATTTCATGTTTCTTGATTTGATGGTGTAAAAGAGAGATTAAAACTCCCTTTAACCAAATCTAATCACAGAAGCATTCAATGTGCAGTGTATAACTGTATGACTCAGAGCACTATTGTTTTATGTATTAATTATAGCTGCAATGCTGGATTGTGGCCAAAATCCTGCGATTGATGCGAAAATACAATAGTCTCCATGTAAACAAAGCCGACCTGTTTCCATCCCCATAGAAACCACTAATGCAAGCACCAAAAGGAGGCAAAGGACAAACGCTGTGAATATTATAAACTTCTGCAATCTGCTGTCACCAATGATGTACAATCATCTAGCAGCAGAGGGCCACAGCGTGGTAGGTAATTACAAATGAACTGCCGCACAATGATGGGGTCCAACTGTAAATATTAGACCAACATTGCCTCAGGCTATGATTACTATGTTGCGCAATTACATATGGAAAACAGCTCATTACGAGCACAATGAACCTACCGGTAATTATTATTCAGCGTGCGAGCAGAGAATGAGCTGTGATCATAGCCACTATTAACTGTCCTGGCCAGAGATGAAAGCACGGCGTATTAACAGTCATGCAGCGAGAAACAACAGAAGGAACTGCTGAAGTGACAGGCTAATGGATTTCTTGACAGTGACCTGCAACGCCTCTTATTACCATCCTTGAGAGCGGGGGTGGCCAGTCATGCACGCTTAAAAACGGCCTTGTTAAGCTTTTACCTTCACATCAGTCTGTGCTGGTGCTGCTGAGCACCAGGATCAGTGGTGCAAATTGTGCAAAACAAACACAGACACACACTACTCTGAGGAAATAATGACAAGTGACACAAGTGCAAAGGGTTGCTTAGCAACAGCATGTGCAAGGGGTTACAAGAAACATAAGCACACACTAACTTATTAAGACCTTTTTACCTCACATGCATTACTGTGTAATCCAAACGATACTCACAAAGTATTTTGATACAAACACAATGAACTGACTGTACAGTGCTGGATCTGATGATCGTGTACATTTCTACTTTTTTAATTAAAAACAATAACAATATAAAATCATACAATTTAAAATAACAATTGTGCTGATTAATTAAGTGTAAATTATCGACCATGATGTCACCGCGTCAAATTATTTCTATGAAAAGATCCCAAATTCTCCAAAGAGTCATCTGGCACAGGCACACGCTCACTTCCTGTGTGTCAGTTAAAATTCTAGTGCGGCAATCTCACCTCTTCTGTGTCTTTTAGCGTGCACACGTGACTGGGCATGGAGACGAGGGTATGCTCTCGGCGGTCAGCAATGTAGAGCCACCACCACTCCTGCTTCTCCTCTGGGAAGTAGAGACTGTAGACCGGGTGTGTCACCTTTGACTTGGTTTCTAGCAGGGCCCGCTCTCGCCGCTGGATGCTTTGTTGCAACGCTTCCCACTCCTGACAGGGAGGGGAGAAAAGAGTGACGGTTAGATTGGATAGAGCCTTTCCCTTCCATTTATCAGCTGGACCTTAACACTATAGGCTTTTAAGTGATAAAGCTCCTGCTGCTAAACCTACGAATGACATATGCATCCGATTAACGCTCTCTGACCTCCTCGTCGTCGCCAGCCATCTCGTCGACTTCTGTGTCGCTCTGTTTGTCGCTGTCTTCGTCTCTTTCGCTCGGAGAATCCTTGTTGGCTTCGCCCTCGTCTGACTCGCTGCCTTTGTCTGACCCATCATCATCTTCCTCCTTTGTCGCCACAGTTGCTGCTGCTGCTGTTGTTGTTGTTGTTGCGGCTTCCTGCGACACCAGTATCAATAATGAAAAGTTATGCTGAAAGCACTGTTGTTTTAAATAATCATCTGACAGTAGGTGGATGCTGGTGTTAGTTTAATTCAGGTGTAACTAACTGAGTGAGTGGCTGCTTACATTTCCTGCCACGGTGCCATTGGCCTGCTTGTTTTTGGCAGGAGCAGGAGTGGCTTTCTTCTTGGTTAACTTTTTCTTCTTGGACTTGGCTGTCTTTTTAGCCCCTTTATTCTTGTTCTGCCACACTTTGGTTTTGGCTTTACTTGTGTCTCCTTGCTTCAGATCAGACACACAAAAAAAGAAAACGTGAACATGATTCTTTGAACCATTAAACTTTTACAGCTTTTAAGTTGCCCAAGCAAACTGAACATAAACTGAGCCGAAATGGTTTCTGCATGTGTGATCTTACCGCTTCCTCTGTAGTGGCAGTCTCATCTCCTTGACACGGCACTGGCTCTTGCTCTTGTTCAAACATGTCCTACACACACATCAACAAGCAGAGTTAACTGATGCTATCCAGCCATGTTTTCAGTCAACAGTGCACTCTAATGGTGATCCACAGTAGTGCATGTGCAAGGCAGCAGAACCTGCTTTCTAGTAACTTATTGTTACGTCAAGTATTATGTAGGTGTTGAATCACACGGAAACATTTCTTACCGCCATCCGTTTCCTGTTTAAGGTGACGGTTACTGTGACGATTGAGCCTGCCGTGATGTTACTACTGTCTTCGTCATCAAGGACTGCAAAAAAACACCCAAAAACATTAATGTCTAAAAGTTGAACACAGAAAAACATAATGTACACACTTGTGCCAAAAGATAAAACTCTAAATGATCAGCAGTTCAGCCAAACCGGACTAAAGCTTACAATGCTTCTTCTTACAGCCATACAGAAACAACCATAATTTTTCTTCATTAATCCATCTTCCACATCTACAGTAACATGAAACTGAAGTCGAAATCAAAGTAACATATTTTTCCCCTACCCTGTAGTGTAATTATGCATCTTCCTTGTTTTTTATGTCAGTTTTGTAAGCATCAGCTTTAGAAACATTTACCAAAATGAGAAAATATACAAATATTCGATATCCACTTAGTTAGGTACACCTGTTTAACTGCTCATGAATGCAAATATTCTATCAGCTGATTACATTGCAGCAACTCAGTAGATTTGGGCATGTATGGTCAAACTGAGCATCAGAATTAGTGAATAAAGGTGATTTAAGTGACTTTGTTAGTGCCAGACAGGCAAGTCTGAGTATTTCAGATCAGATGCACAGCACTCTCTAGGATTTACAGAGAATGGTTTGAAAAACAGGAAATATCCAGTGAGTGGCAGTTCTCCTGGAGAAATTGCCTTGTTGATGCCCGAGGTCAGAGGACAATGACCAGACTGCTTTGAGCTGATAGGATGGCAACAGTAACTCAAATAAAGCACCCGTTACAAGCAAGGTATGCAGAAGAGCTTCTCTCAACACACCACACACGCTGAACCTTGAAGCTGATGAGCGATAGCAAAAAAAAAAGAAAAAGACTGAGGGTGCCACTCTTGTCAGCCAAAAACAGACAACTGGAGCTACACAGCCTGCACAGGCTCAGCAAAATGGGCTAATAGAAGATTGGAAAAATGTTGCACGGCCTGATTCGCCTCTGCTTCTGCTGCGCAATGCAGATGTTAGGATTGGGATTTGCTGTAAATAACACAAAAGTATGGACGCATGCTGCTGCTGGTGGTGTAATGGTGCAGGGGGATATTTTCTTGCCACACTTTAGGGCCCTTAGCACAAGCTGAACATTGTTTAGACACTACAGCCTCCTATTGTTGCTCACCATGTCCACCCTGTATGATCATAGTGTACCCATCTCCTGACGTCTACTTCCAGCAGGACAACACACCATGTCACAAAGGTTAAATAATCTCAGATTTCTTTACTAAGTATGACAATGAGTTGACTGAGCAGACCTAAAACCAACAGAACACCATTGAGATTGTGAAAAGGAGCATCATGAATGTGCAGCCCAGCATTGAGTCAATGACATGAAGCGTTAAGTCAGTTCTAAAGGACGAAGGAGTCCAAACCAATGCTCACAAGATGTCTCTATTAAAGTGGTCAGTAAGTTTATGTTACACTCCCCCCCCCCCGGTTACAGCTTCCCATTCCCCTGAGGCCCCCACAAGACATGACAACATCTACAGCCTGTCACACTGCCACAAGCATCAGCCTCTTGTCACAGGTAGACAGATGCTTGACTCTGTACAGTGATACTGTTGGCAGTTGTAGTTTGGTAGAAAGAAAAGGTTCCTACATGAAACTCCGCACAACAAGATTTGTTCAGTAACAATGTCATGATGTCAATGGCATTTCCTCACACTTGGGCTGTGCACAGTTCCATATTTACATCCAACACATCCAATAAATGAATAAATTTAAAAAATGAGCAACTCACACCAAAGCAACATTAACCTCCTAGGACCTGGCGTCCACATATGCGGACATCGCATTTTGGGTTGTCTAGACCAAAATACTAAATGTTACTCTACAAGGGCCTGATATCCACTTACGAGGACATTATACTGTCACTGTTCTATCAAAATTTAAAGCGAATATCCTCATATGTGGATCTCATTTTTCTCAGAAACAAAAATAAGGTACAAAAAAAATAAATAAATAAAAATAAAAAAAATCATGTAATTCTTTGTTTTTACATTCATCAGATCCCAATCAGCCCAAATAGCAAAGAGAAATTAAAAATGCATGCCATGAAAGAGTTCGTTTCTTAGGAGGTTAATGGATATACAGCACTAATGGCCAGAGAACAGTCTGTTAAAAAAAAACAACAGCAGATCAGACTATCAAAGGTCTGCTATGAACAAACAAAGTGTGTTTTTAAGGACTGACCCTGCAGTTTGATATCCATGGTGATGTGAGGGAAGCTGGCCAGCACAGCCATGACCTCGTCGTACTTCTCCTCTCCAAGGAAACGCAGCATGTTTCGTCTGTCGGAGTCCTTCAGACTCACCAAGTCCTGGAGGGTTCGCACCTTATACTAAAGTAGGGAGGAGGAAGAGGATGGCAGTGAGAGAATACGTGACCTGTCGACCATAAAACATCTTTATCTCCCATTATATTACACACAGTATGCGGGCACATGCAAACTTTCGTTAGATACCTTTTTAGAAATGCAGTATCGGAGGTGCTCCTCTTCAAAGTGAGGCAGCTGCAGCAGCGGTGACTTTGACTCCTTCAGGCCCTGCACTATCATCTGGGTCAATTTCATACAGTTCTCTATGGTCACCAAGCGAGGAGCACTGAAACCTGAGGAGAGACATTAGCATTTATGGAAAAGTATACAAAGATTTCATGATGTTGGTAGCACCAATAGAACTAAAAAAAAAAAATGTATAACAGTAGTCAAAGAGCTGTAATAATGTGTAGTATATATGCAAACCTCTGCTGTTGGCCATAAAAATAAGCTGACAGCCCACATTGATCATCTCCTGGAGAAGCGCTGGAGTCTTTTTCACCACAAACCTCTGATCTGGAACAGAAACATACAACATTTTATTTAAAGAGCCAGTGAAATTTATCAAAAGCACTGAATGAAGCGCTGCATTGTTTATCTGATGTAGAAAAGGATATATTATTATTTGTGTTATATTCTATTCTAAGATGAAGCCTCATTTATTAGCTCCTGATAAATGAGGCTTCATTAATCTTTTGAACAACTAGGCCAGATCTACTTGAAGACTTCTTTTTTTAATAAAATAATTAAACAAGCATAATTAGTAAAAATGTAAAATTCCAGTGAGTATCATTCAGCATGTGTCCTACCTTCCTCTAATTCCTCAGACACGTCCATGCGGGCCAAGTGAGCTAACACCAACACCCTGGCCTTCAGACTGTAGGGATAGTAGAACGGAGGCTCCTTCTTCTTCACATTGATATTTCCTAATTCACGGATCAACTATGGGAGAGTTGGGAGGCAGTCATTATAACATACTGTACTGTACAAAAATATCATCTTCCACGTTGCGTGCTGAATTCTGGGTTACTGGCAATGAACTTCAATCACACAGGAAATGAAATCGCAATGAGAACGCTCTTTTCCTTCCTCATCTCCAAAACTTCCATCTCAAAAACAACATCTGGACATAACACCCCCCTCAAACCAAGTTTCTTCTCTTATGAAGCTTCTTTCACAGAAGCAAACTTCTGTTTTTACCTGCGGCACTTCAACGTTGTCTGTGGGTCTTATGGTTGCTTCTTTATTGTTGCGAGGATCGAATTCGAGTGCTGCCGTCAACACCATGATTAACCCTGGAGGCCAGAGTCAGCCAAAATTACAATTTGTTAATGCAATCAGGAAGAAGACCGAATTTATATCAACATAACCTTTGCTGAATAAAGTAAAGCGTGTGCAATGCTACAGAACTTCCGAATATGTGAACCAGAAACTCACGTTTCATGTTCATATTCGGTGTCTTGCACATGAAATGCATAAAGAGCTGGGTAGTGTTGATGAGGATCTGGTCTCCACTGTATCGGATTGAGCGGTACCACCATGTCCCCTAAAGTACAAAGAAAAAGAACAACCAGTATGAGAAACACAGATTATAACAATACAAGGCTTCTATTTCTATATGAAATCATGATGAACACTTACCACAACAACAGGAAGGATAACCATAAAGGCAAGTCCATACACCAACAGCACCTATAAAATGAAAATAAAGCAGTTCGATCCAACCAAGTCTTTCAATTTGATCTACAATAGCCCGCATAGTGTTGTTTTTTTTTGTTTTTGTTTTTTAAATAAAGTATGGTTTTTTTTGGAATATAGGGGCTCTCTGCTATTAAGAAAAAATAAAAATCACAAATGAGATTTATCAGTTAACTCTACAATGAAATAATGGACAAATACCAGCATTGAGTTCTTCTGGTCAACAATCCAGGCAGGCAGGGCAATGCCAAAGCTGGTTGCTAGAAAAGGGAGACATAAGAGGCAATGGAATTAAACAGGAAAATTCCCTTTATACATGCTGAAAGCAATCTTTCTGCAAAAGCACTCCTCTGTGTCGCACATTACTTGTAAGGGTGAGCAATCTAATGATACTGTGTTGTTGATGATCTAAATTTGGCATATGAAACAGTATAATCAGCTCATTTAAACTTTTCTACACCACGTCTACCATGGCTGGTAGTGACACAATGAGAGTGATGCTCACTGGGTGCACTACTGATCCCTGATGTGCAACTTGAATAGCAAACAGAAGACAGAATGGCAGGTGAAGATGACTCTGCAGTGTGGAAATGATTTGGATGCTCAGTAACTGAATGCAAAGTTGGCAGGGAATCTGTTGGGACAACCTGTAATCTAATCACAATCTTGTTCTACCATGTTGAAAATTGATCTTCAGTGAAGGCAGTATCGAAGTAATCAGCTAGTCTGATGACTCAGACACTCGAGGCAACGGTTTAATTTTCTGGGGCTTCAGGTGTGGCCGGAATGTCTAGAGAATAGATAATGGATCAAGACTTCCTGTTCTGTGCATCATAATTGTGTACAAATCCGGATACAGTTTTAAAAAGCTAATAAAAAGTCAAGTTGTTTTCAGATGATGTGACTGTTTAAAGATAGCACAAAGTCTCTTTTTTGCTCTCCTCTCTGTTTGTCTGCATGCAGCCAAGCCTCCTCAAAAAACTAAAACTAGAAAACTCCACTTGCGAAATCCAAAAGTGTGCTTTCATTCCATTAGTGGAGCCGCACAGACAAAGAGTGTGTGTGAAAGTGGAGCAAACTCTTTTTCGTATCATCCCTGCTCTTACTGGACTGTGCTGTTTCAAATGATTTATTACAAGTTAACAGGTAACTGTTTCACCAGCATCAGTGGAGAAGGTGCACCAATGCATTAAACTGGTGTGCATTAGAGAAGCTTCACTTACCTCCTGGGCCGTCAGGGTTTCCATACATTTCCCAGTTCTGCCTTGACTGTTCATTGGTTAGACTGCAGGGGGAAAAAAAAAACAAAAAACAGATTATTTGATCAACCTAGAACTCTGGGCTAGAAGATGTAATCTGGCTGGCATGAACAAAGTCAAAACCACAATGATACTTACGCAGCATAAGCCTTAGCAATTCTCATGAATGTGGCCTCATCGCCACCTTTGTCGGGGTGATACTTGAGTGACAGTACACGGTACTGCTTCTTGATTTCTGACAGCGATGCACCCTGAAACACGAATACACCACATGTAATGTAGGTAACAAAGACAATCAGCCCTAATTTAAAGAAGACTGAGAAGTCCCAGAAATCCAGAAAGACACGTTTTGAGCTTGAGTGAGATGTGGAAGTAATACAAAAAATAAAAATGTAACATTAAGGACTTCAGTGGCTTTGCAATAAACCATTTGTTGTGTGTGTGTTTACCGGGTCCAAGCTGAGGACTTCATATGGATTATACTCCTGGTACTCTCTGTCCAGCTTAGACACCTTGTAGGCCAGCAGCAAAAACACGAGCCACCCAAATAACAAGGCTGCTTTCCTGAAAATGTCAGCACACAAACAGGAAACATGAATAAACATCTGGGCTATAGAGCCCACATGAGACATCTGTCATTTTCAGAAACACTTCCAATGACTAGATCCACATTAATATAACACTGCAACTGAAATGATCTTTACCATTTAAAGCTACAAACATTCTATCATAATTTGAAACACTAAAAGCAAATTTCAACCCAACACATCCAAACACAAGGACATGCCACGTTCTGACATTGTTGTTTGTTTAATATTTATGCGTTGAAGTTGAACTTGTTACCATGACAATGACAAAAACCTGTGGCCTGCTCTGCAGCATCTGTTGCCATGACGACAGCTCACTAGCCAGAGTTGTCTGAGTTGCTCGACCAGAGAAATACATGATGGATTCTTATAATAAACACGATCGCGATGATACACTTGTGAGAGGGAAACAGATACTGAGATTTTGAGAGTGAGGCTGAGATGATCACTTTGATTTTTTCCACCCCGGTAAACAAGCTGTGTGCTTCCACCGTCTTCTGTACGAAGAGCAGCCAAGCAAGGGAAGGCTTTATAAATGCCAGTTGTTAAATACTGGGTGTAAATACAGGATGTGGGTCTAGTGAAGGCGCGAGAGAGGAGTAAGTGGGAGTAAGAAGCTGTTAAACCACGCAGAGCGAATAAACAGCTCTTAGAAGACAGGGTGATGTTAAGATAAATGTTAAGCAGTGCAGCTAAATGTTTACAGCCACAGCACAAGTCACATGCAAACAACAGAAACTGCACTCATGCCAAAAGCAAGTTCTTATACGCACGCAGAAAGAGAATATTCAGTCTGACCATAACATATACCGCAACACATTCTGTGTCAAGCTGGATAAACCATCGGAGTGAATCTATATGCTGTCAGAAACAGGTACAGTATCGAGACGATGTCTGAGTGATCACAGTGTTAACAGCTTGGGTTAGTCAATCCTAAATAACAGCAGCGATGTGACGTTCAACAAGCAGGCAAACAACCAAGCATGCAAGCTTGTTATTATACTGTCCAGGAAGTGTTGTCCAAATATAAGTCAACATATTTATATGCAAGTCGTGATCCTCTTTCAGCTGGTCCCTTTAGCGGTCACCAAAGCAAATCATATGCCTCCATGTCACCCTAGCCCTAGCTTCCACACAAACCCTCTGAATTCCACCTTCACTACATCCGTGAATCTTCCCTGTAAAGAATACAAAGATAGTGTTATGAAGGACTTCAAACTAAAACTTCTTATGGCTTCGGTGTAACGCACGATAGAGTCCCATTCATAACTGAAGTCTCAAACCAGTTATAAATAAGACATTCGCTTTCATAGATGTTACCTCCAGAAAAATTCTTTAGAAAGGGAAGCTGAGGAAATCCACCAAACAACAAGAAAAGCACGTGTGGGACGAGCTACTATAAGTACAAAGCCAAAGTTCAATTCAGCAGACTCACTTTAGTGTTGGCACGATGCTCTGCTGCGACTTCATCAGCCTGAGCCGATACCACAGACACCTGCCGTGCACCCTCCGTAGGCTCTTTAGGCGCAGTTGTTCTGAGACAAGAGGAAGCACATTATCAGTATGAAAACAGCCACAATCAGTATGCATAACAACAATGCAACAATTCAGTGAGATTGCCTGGCTGCACAGAGCCACTACTGTGCCAGGGGGAGGGTTTATTAATGTTGTTTACTTCAATCAGCTCGAATTTTGTATTTCTCCATCTTCAGTCCTATTGCAGAAGATGGACAAATAATGATTTTATGAGTTTAGTGGCTCTGTGTTTATTAACTTCCATAAATTATCTGAGGTCACTACGATAACCGGTTTACCTGCCAGTCAGATTCTCCCAGTCAGCTACTCCCAGTAGACCAGCTGCATAAAGTTTGCTACCATAACTTATATAACAGCTTATGCTGGCTGCATTCTGTGGACTAGCATAGAGTCTCGCTAAGGTAGGGAGCTATCAAGAGGAGGTCAATAAAAGCGCAAAGGAAAGCTTAAGCGCGTGCCAGAGTGACGCTGGCTTTTGGTGTTTTAGCTGTGCTGTTAGCTCATGTTTCCAGGCGCCTGTGTCGCTGGGTTTCACTGCAAAGCTCCTGGAGGTAGACCCAAATGGAGGCTAAATCGTGGCCAGCTGGTAGCCGTATACGAGCCAAAATACCGCCAGAAAACTTCATGTTAAGTTAGACAGTTAAGTTAGCTCAGTTAGCACTGAGCCACACAGTCAGGCCTTACCAGCATTTTGATCCCGGGGCCAGAGGTAATATGTGGCCGGGATCACAATAAGTCCGACGAAGGACGTTAGGAAATAGAAAAAGGTATTGCCGCTGTCATCGTACTGGAACTGTTGCCCGGCCATTTCGTAGCGGCGCTTAGGTCGCCCTTCTTCTCCACCGCTGCTCTTCCCCCTTCAAGCCCAATGTGTGATACCTGACAGACCGTTAGCAATCCAGCCAAGAGAGCTCGATGCTATGGATGCATCGGTGTACGTGGTGTACGCCTGCGCAATGTGGTTTGCCTTCTTCTTTTAATGCTTTAAAACCTTCCCCGCGTTAGCGACCCCTAGCGGTGGCATTGGAGATCAGCGTGTGAATGGTTTCAAGATTCAAAGTGTTTATTGTCATGTGTACAGAAGAAATAGCATTTCTCTGTGCAATTAAATTCTTCCTTTGCTGTCCATACGCAAATGCCAAGTTAGGTAGGGTTGAAGGAACAAGATAAATAAGGTAAAAATAAGGATAAAAAAAATAGAGAAAGATAAATAAATAAGTACAAAATATGTAAATGAAGAAAAGTGAGGTATGCAGTTGTCAATGTAAAAGGATGTACAAAGGAGCTTAATGTGCAAAAGAACTTAGTGTGCAAATTGTCCTGATGTGAAAATTGCAGTTGAGGTAGGTCAGCTGTTCAGGAGTCTGATAGCAGTGGGGAAGAAGTAGTTGTTGAGTCTAGATGTTCTGGATTTCACACTTTTAAACCTTCGTCCCGAGGGCAGAAGTGTGAACAGTCCGTGTTGGGTCTCTAAGGATGGAGGCAGCTCTCCTCTGGACTCTGTGATGGTAAATGCTCTGCAGAGGATCTTGGCAGACATCCCAAATTTCCTCAGTCTCCTCAGGAAGTGCAGCTGCTGCTGAGCCTTCTTGACCAGCTGTGTGGTGTTCAGTGTCCAGGTAAGGTGCTCACTGATGTGAACGCCCAGGTACCTAAAGCTGCTCACCCTCTCCACTTCACTCTCCCGGATAAACAGCGACTGGTGAGGCCTCTTCTTCTTACTCATGTCCATGTTCTTCCTTTTTGAGCTTGAATAAATGAAGGTGAGGGGTCTTTATTTGTTTTTTTTAGCTATGCAAACATCCCGTGTATAACATGACTTCATATGAAGGATCTGTAAAGTCTGAACCATTAGTTAATTGTCAGTAGTTTATGTGTAACATAAAAGTGATTATAGATCAATTTACATATTTGCAGTTTTAATTCATTTAAATTCATTGCGTTTTGCTACATCCAGCAATTTGTGCAATTTATTGCTTACATTTTTGGGCACTTTGTTCAGGATTTTGTTTTTTTGTTCTAGCCTATTATGTTTTGGAATGTATTTTTAAAAAATTATATAAATATTTAAATAGAACTTCAGCATACAGTCTCACTTAGTGCTAATGCATTTATTAAGTCACTCCGACTGACATTTATCAGGTACAATGTCCATACATATACATATACACATATGCATATACAAACATACTCTGGATATATTCCAATCATCAAGAATAAATGCAAAATATCACATATGATGAATAATGTATCTTTTTTTTCTTTTTTAAAGGACTTCCAAGAAGTGTCAGTGATATTGGAACATACTACCTCCCAAAAAATAATAATAAAAAAACTGGATTACACTGGGAGAAAGTTAGAGAGAGCGATAGGGAGACAGTTGGAGAAAAAAAAAATTGTGAGTTAACTAATACATTAGTGGTAAGACGGTGTTCTGACAAACCATCCTACTTTGGCAAAACGTCCTACCGTAAGTAGTTTATGCACATTTCTGCTGTCACAGAGTAATTCCAGCACAAATCTAAGTAGGTATGACGTTTTGCCACTTAACTTTGCCCATCAGAGTATGCTTGTAGCTCATAAAGCCAGGACGGTTTGCCACTGCATTTTACCTGTTAAAGTATGCTTGTAGGTAACATTCACAAAGGTAGTGTGTGGGTGTTATATTTTCTCCAACACACCTATTACCCACTCAGAGATTTTGTAACCTTTTTTTTCTCTTTCGCCAGTTCTGTTCTGCAGTTGAAGTTAATGCCTGCTCTCATCAGCACTCTTCAACACATACCTGGAGAGATCTGTGGAGGCTGGAGGAAGAAAAATCACCAACCTGTGTGTTCCAGATTGCAGGAAAAGGAAAACAACTTGCTATCTTGGCGCAACATCTTGATAAAACAATCTCAGCTTTTGATATGGAGATCGGTGTCAAAAAGACCAAGTTCAAAATATGAGATCTTGGCAAGGAAAGCACAGACAAAAGGTTTAACAGTAACATTTAGGGCCAAACGCTGTGATCAAAAATCAGCCTGCTGTGCTCTCTTGTTTTGTTAATCTTTCTGTGTTACAAAAACTCACAGAAGAACTCCAGAGAAGAATTCTCGCAACACAGATAAGATGCAACAGGAAGCTCTTATAGGCATCTTATCCAAAGTTCCATTGCGTAATTGGACTTCATGACAAACTCCTCCCAGCTGTCAAAAGAATGGAAATTTGAGACTGCATGACCTTTCTCCTGTTCATCAGGGCTTGTGAAATCACCTTGTAAGGAACACTACAAACACTCAAAATAAATGACAGTGTTCTAATTGTATGCAGTATTTGGGAAAAGTTCATTCTAGATAAGATCTCCCACAAAAATACTCTAAGGCTCATGGCTGGACTATACTTACAATGAATAAGGTGCCCTAACTTAGTTTTCTTAAGTAAGCTGTACTTAGTTTTTTTAAGGCAACAAGTTTGCATCAGGTTCTGGGAACTAATTCAATTTTACAGTTCATTCTCTTTTCTCCCCCTATGCAGGTGCTTACTGAACACTGCTATTGCAGTTAGCATTCAACTGAGCAACCACCTGTTCTTCATTCATCCAAATCTTGTTGTAAATGAACTTTCCTCAGTTGTTTGTGTGTGGTTTGGAAAATCAGAGACCAGAGGAACATTTATAGAACGGAATCAAAGAATTTTTGCTGGTTATTTATTTGAAATTTGCATGATAGAAATATGCTAAACCCAAATAAGCCAACCAAATGTTCACTACTTTGCCTTCAAAAGCTAGGTTAGCGATTAGTAAGCTATGAGAGATTCATGCCATCCTCTCTTGATTGTCTATCTTAAACATTTAAAGACTGATCTAAAGAAGCCTCACTCTCTGCTTCTCTCTACTGTGAAAGCACTTCTAAGTCTCATCAGGCATCTGCTTGGTTGATTTCTCAGCTACAGGCAAAGAATTTGATGAAGACAAATAAAACAGCCTGCTTTTTGCATCTCATTTTCTCACACGTGCACCAAAATATCATCCAGATGCTTGCGTTTCAAGTCAGGCACAGTAGCATCGGAGGCAGGATAACCAACAGGAAGTAGCATCAGCAGCTTCTCGTTCGCTGGGCGTTTAAGTAAAAGTCTGAGTTTGGGGCCGCAGTTGAGGGGCGTAGATGTGACGGTAACAAGACCCGCATTCTGATGAAGCAGACGGAGAGAAACAGTGAGATTTGTGCACTACATTTTTGGATTTTATGAGAGAGAGAAGAGCTGCTTTCCCAAGTGTTTCAAATGATTTGAATTATGACCTGTAATGCAGCCAGGAGGATCCCACAGGATATGGACACGCTGATTTCGTTGTAGTAGTGTGTTTTCTTCTTGCCATTTGGGAGAAGCCCGTAGGTCTGTTTAAAGATGAGGATCAGATATGGAGCAACATCCAAGTACTCCTTAATCCAATTTGTCCTACAAGAGGAGGGAAAAGAGAAAGAAAATGTGTTTTTTTACTTTGGAAGATATTAACTGAAAATTAGTTGTGAATTTAATGTTATCCATGTTCGTTCTTGCATGCATGTTTACCTCAATTTGGCCAAATCCTGAACCCATTTTTCCCCCATCCTCTGGCGGTAGTTCATCTCCTCCTCCTCTTCAACTATCAGTCTAATTTGATGCTTTATATCTGGATCTGACACCACAATGAACGTCCAGGGTTCTGTGTGTGCTCCGCTAGGTGCTGTACCTGCTCATGTGAAGAACAGGAAGAGAAGAAAAAAAAACTTCAAAATGAAGCTCAGACTAATACCCTAGGGTGAATCCCAGTGAATTATGTTTTAATGACATTTCGTGCCTGCAGTGTGGATGACATTATCGATGACTTCCCGTGGGACAGGCTCCGGGCTGATGAATCGGACAGACCTCCGTTGGTTCATCAAAGTGTAAAACTCCTTGGACCTTTGCAGCATTGTCTCCTCAGGGTATCGCTGCGGTGAATAAGGCAGTTGTGTGAGGTTCTCCTCTTCAGTGCTGTCCCCCCAATCATCATCAGCATCACCATCTTATAAAAGATGAAAGACAGAAAGACATACCAATAAAATACAACTCCAATCCCAAAAAGTTAGGACACACTGTAAAAAGTCATCACAATCAATTGCAATGATCTGGAAATCTCATAAGTCCACATTTTATTCACAAGAGCGCAAAGCATACGAAATGTTTAAGCTGACATATCTTACTATTTCATGATAAATACTGGGTTATTTTAATTTTGATGACAGCAGCATGTCTCAAATACAGTTGTGACAGGTTCCTGTTTTCCACTGTGTAGCATCCCGTCTGCTTTTAACAACAGTATTCCACCATGTGGGAACTGTGGGCCAGATGAGCACAGGGAGTCTTCTACACCTGTGCTGCTGTAATGGATGCAGTTTAACATTTTCTTGCTGAAATATGCAAGACGCCATCTGAATTGGAACATCTCTAAAACCTGAATATACCTTTCAGCAATAATGTCGCCTTTCCAGATGTGAAAGCTGCCAATTTCACAGGCACTGATGTGTTTCCACACCATCTGAGATGCAGGCTTTTGAACTGAGTGCCGATAACAACCCTGGTGGTCACTTTCCTCTTTACACCAGAAGACAGTGTTTCTGGATCACTTTCACATTTGGCTTCTTCTTTGCATGACAGAGCTTCAACCTGCATTTGTGGAAAGTACGGAGAATAGACAGCGATTTCTGCAATCCTTCTCAGTGACTTCCGTGACACAATCATGTCTGCTTTTACTGCACTGGCATTACTTATATTCAGCCATGTCCCTTGCATGCAGAGATTTCAATTTAGTTATAATAAGATATACAAATTTGTCACAATTTTACTCGAGGAACAATTTTGTGAAAATTTTCAACAATTTACAGACACTTATTTTTGTTTTTTTGGTTCACCCATTTTTACTTTTGGGAAACACTGCTGCTTTAAGATGTTCTTTTTTAAACCCAATGGTGTTACTGGTCCATTGCCAATGGGAAAATGTCCTTCCAGCTGTTTCTTTTTATTACCACTTACTTTTTCAGTCTTTTGTTTCTCCACTCTCAAAGTATTTTTTCTTTTTTTGAGATGTGTTGCTGGTATCAAATTCATAATGAGTTATTTTTATGTTCTTTAAATGATACATTTTCTCAGTTTAAAGAGCATGTGAGGATACAGTTACTCGCCTTGCCAAGTTGTGGAGTTTCATGTGAAAAACAACAGAGGAACGTTATGTAATAGACAACCAATAAAAAAAAAACTCTTTTTGAATCCACGCAGAACCTTTGTCGAAACATTTTAAACCGGTAACCACATTCTTTATTGTGTTCAATGTTCAGTTTACATTGCATTTTAAAAGTTGTGACCTACATTTGAACATTATGCAACTGGCTCTAAAGCATGCACCCAACCAACCACACCAAAAAAAAAAAAAGTTCAGCCCCACAGCGAACTACAAGGCTCAGTTCTCACCGTCTTCTTTTGCTGTGATTTCTGTATCGTCCTGTAAGTCCTGGTCCACCCATGGTCTTTTCTCCCCTTTTGTCGCCCCTTTACTTTTGCCTGGAGATGTGGACTCTGTGTCCCATGATTTCACCAGCACGAAGCCTATCACCAGGCATAAAACCACCGCCAGAACAGGCGTGAACACGGACAGGAAAGCCATGCTCACTGGAGTGCAGAGAAAAGGCCACGGGTACCTGCCCTTTGTGTTGCTTACCTCAGCGGAACGCAGACTTGATTGTGAAACACTACTACAGTTATCGGGGCGGGGGCTGTAGGCTGAGTCAGAGCAGCCGTACTGAGAAATGGCCCACTAGCTTCAGGGTCAGCTATAAAATGAAATAACGCACAGATCCACCACCAAGTCATCCACTGTCACTATAATTCATGCAAACTTTTGTGGAAAATGCTTCACCTGTAAAAGTTTCAGTCACCGGTGACACAAAAGTCAGAACACAGAACAACCAATAAAAATCTTGACTTTGATCTCTGCAATCCCATAAATATAAGTAAACAGTTCGCATTGTTCATCACAGCACTCAGCAGCGATTAGTCCACATTTGCTCCGTGTTTTTAAACAGTTTGCTAAAGAGATTTCAAACCTTTTTCAAGGACATTTTTAAAACGGATCACAAAACGATGATGACAATAGAACAAAGCATATAATTACTAAACGGGTTAGCAGTGGGAATGTGAGCATGATATTGGAAGAAATCATAGAATTCCAGGGGAAAAGGGGGGGAAATGTTTAGCAGCTGTTTTTGTCTCTCTCTCCAGCTGTGTCCATTTTTTGGTGACAATGTTGCTGGATAGTGATGTGGACATGAGCGTACCTGAGTGTGTGAGGCAACATTTCCAGCAGTGCTTGCAGTTGTAAAAATACCATATGCACTGCTAGATGAATATTATGACTGTTGCTGTTTTAGGAGTAATAGATTATTATTTCTACTCCTGTTTTTTGCTTCCAGATTAGAACTAAATAAAGAAAATACTGGACTTTGATTTGTGGGGAATATTTTGTAACATTGAGGCTAAATATCTATGTTAACCTCCATCCCCCTTAAAAAAAATCAAAATGCTCTCATTTTGTCTGTCTATGCTTTATGATCTGCAACAGTACTGTATTCCTAGAAACAGAAGTATGATATTTTAACTAATTAAAATATTGCTTCATTTTGTCATCTCCATGATCCTGCCATCACTGGAATTTATTCTGTTTATACCATGTCTTTAAATCATTCACAATATCAGTAGTGTCTCCCAGAGAGCAACATTTGGAAATTTGACATTTCAAATCTACACATGCTGCTCCCTCTGGTGGTTACTGCAATTCAGTTCAGTAACAGACCTTTACTGAGTTTACAGAAAATGCTGCACTGATGAAGAACTGTGATCTATATCCTACTATGTAAATAAAGTAACACAATGCCCTTTCAAATAAATATGCTAACAGTAGACTAAGCTTTCATTTTTCTTCCATTAACTTAACTATAAATTAGCACAAATAAATATCAGAGGCCTAATTAACTTGTTATGCCCCAAAGGGCTTTCTGAGCTTCCTGCTCGAAAATGACGAGCCCAAAATAAATAAAGTATTTCTCTGCAATTACAAACTCTGTGTAAACAATCGTGGTAACAAAATAAAGCTAACACTTGTGAGATTTCATCAGAGATTTAAATATTACAGCAGATGTTACTGTGTGAAAGTTACTGAGGCTGGAGAACAGAAAAAGTAAGTAGATCTTTTCCCTCGCCTAATTTATTTATTTGTTTTTGTGGAACATGTGGAAGAACCTTACACAGTGGAGTTGACATCAGCGATCAATATGTGTGTCCTTGTTTTGTTTGTTACATTTTTGGAAAAACCAAACTGCAGGTACAGAGAGTGTTTCACCAACACATGTTATTGATATCTGTAATAGACTGCTTATTCCAAGACCAAACCAAGTTCCCAAAGAATATACTAAAAGATATTCTGAGTGTAGATAACATCCAAGATGTTGGGCCTACAGTAATTACCCCCATTATGAAGTTTTACCAGAGTATTACACTCAAGCTTGTATCTTCTTCTGACATTCACGAGTTCATTTTAGATCAGATTCATCATCAAGCCCCAAACACAGTCATTTTATCCTGTTTTCCCACAACAGAAATATTTCTACACTTACATGATGCATTTTGACACTCACAATGTTGAATGCTTTTATTTTCAAACTTATCAATCCAGGGAAGCCAAATGAAAAACATAAAGTATAGATTTGATTTGAACAATAGAGTCAGCATCTAATTAATCAAAAGGTTTTTACCCTATGAAGCAGTTCAGCAAACATGTAAAGGAGCAAAAAATACACTTGGGCACTTTAAAGCTAGCTAGTTGTACCGAAAAGTGAAAATTAATAGAGTTATAATTGACTTGTTGGCCTATAATCTAAAAATGTAGGTCAAAAACATCTCTCGTGAATGATATCGAGTCATTTCGGAGCCAGAAAGGAACTATATCCTTTATTAATCCAGCTAAAACGTCTCATTTACAATAAAAATGCGTTTTTAATTAGAGATCGGGCAAAGGGGTAAGCAGAAATGGTAACAAATACAACATAACAGTTCTACAAATATACTTTAAATGACAACGTGGGCACAATAAGGCACACGCTTGCAAGATAGGCCATTTCTTTAGTTTATTTATAACGCCCTCATAAATCCTGTCCATTACACTCTATTTGCCAATATAAGAAAAATATATATAAAATACACACACACATAGAAACAATCACTTTCGGCACAAGAAGGGAGAATGTTATTTTAAATAAATGTATTAAAATACAAGTTAGGTTATTATTATGTCCGACAGGTGGCGCAAAAGAGTTCAGAATTGTACTGAGTTGGAAAATATTCAGACGACTTCCCTACTTCTACATTCCACAAAATTTTACAAACCCTACTTTAGAAATTGGAAAAATATATTTGAGAAATATCAGCAACGCTGTGGAAAGGCCCTCAGTATCTGCATCTGCGAGGATGAAGCACCACTGAGGGGCTTCGCTTTGTACGCTGCAAAAATGAATACATTCATTCATCTAATTTGAATTTTTTAAGCCTATTTATTTATTCATTTTTAACCAACTAATGGTAGATTTTTACGCAACAGCAATTTTACCAACAGCAGGATGACCAGTTAGATTACAGTCACCAACCTTTATATTTTGGTTTGAGAGCCTCTCACTTCTTGCAGTGTTCGCTCCGCCTTCTCGCCTGTCTCCGGCGCTGCGCTTTAAATAGCAGCTGTTTAAAAGCTCCTCACCATTCTCCCGTCTGCCGTGCAGCACGCAGTCCCCACTCGGCACCGCAGTCCTCCCCTTCCATCCACACATTTCTTTAATAACACTCCTGCACATCTCGCTATGTCGGCCGCCAGCACCGAAACCAGTGCCCCTTTGCCCACCGCCGGCAGCCGCGTTTTCTTCCAAGGTGCGCCCGGAGTGGGCTGCGTGGGGTCCGGACCCATCAATGGGGAAGACACGGTCCAGAAGAAGCAGGGCAAAGTGACCGTGAAGTACGACAGGAAAGAGCTGCGGAAAAGACTTGTCCTGGAGGAGTGGATCATTGAGCAGCTCAGCGTGTTGTATGACTGTGAGGTAAGTCGAAAGAAACTCCAAAGCCGCACACGGTTGTGCGCTCTTGTCACCGAGACGGCTGGACAATGAACAGCCCAGGATGAAAAAAAAAGTGGCCCTGCATAGCTGCTTTGTTGTTCTTTGAGAGGTTGTGTTTTTAAATCTTATCTTTTTGTCGCCTTCAAAGACGATTAATCGAAACCGCTTTATACATTTCTCCTGTTTGGTCGACTTTGCTTTTTATGTTCAGTTTCAGTGTTGATTAGGCAGAACTGCAGCAGCCGGACTACTCTATCACTTTAGATGGTTCACTGCGTTTACAAGAATGGCACCTGAATAAAGTACGTCCATGTTTCATCTGACCCCAAATATTTTAGCCGGTGTCTCTCTGTGCTCTGCCGCACTCATACCAGCTGGCTTGGAGATACAAAGCTGTGTGGTACTCATGTGTCATGTCCCGTGTAATTTTCTCCCTTGTTAAAGAGAAAGAGGGATGGCTGACTCCACGAGGCTGAGAGACCGGCGAGAGAGAAACCGCACGTTTGCGCTTTTTACGCACCAGCCGCGTTGGCCATGAACGACCGAGACGCGCTTTGTCTCATTATTCAGTGTGTGTCGAACGAGTAACCTCATCCTCACGCGCCTCTGTGAGATCAGCCCATGTAACAGGCATCCATCCACCTCACGTGCATTTACCTCTCCATCCTCGAGAGCGAAACCTCACAGGCTCATGATGTGATGGTAGTTTTCTCCGCGAGCTGCGTGCGCAGACAGCACGCGCTGGAAACGAGTATTGTGGCAAATTTCTGCCACAATACTCGTTGTGGGGGACGAAAGGGATGCAGAAAGAGAGCCGATCTATAAGTCATGTCCAAGTGAACAGAGCCAGGCCTGGGGGATGGGGGAAATAAGAAGGGCAGTGGGTTAAGGACGAGCTGATACCGTGACTTTCGTTAACAGCCAATCAGCTCCTCTGACTCTGATTCCCCCACACCTTCAAGCTGAAGGTCTCCACAACTATGCACACACATACAGCCTTACAGTATGCCTGTCGCCACAGACTCAGCCAATCAGAGACTAAATAGGGGTCTGCGAGCATGTATGCACATGTGCATGAATCAGGCAACACAGAGGAGCTGAATTTTATTTAAACATAAGGTACAGGTGTGGGGACATGAGTATGTCTCATGTCTGCAGTTGTAGATGCGCATGTGGTTGTTAATGAATGCAGAATGTTGACTCTAACAGTAAATCTGAGAGCAGTATGTGTGTGAATATGCAGAAAGGAAACTTTTGTTGAAATTACAGCAGGATGCTGAATGTCATAATGTCTTTTTCAGTAGTTTGTTCTTCTGCTATTTCTTTCCCACATTTAATGCATATAGACCTCATGCATGCCTTCTGCACATAGAAGTACCTTAGTATGATTTATATAGCTGTCATTTTGTTTGCAAGCTTTCTGTTTTTTATGGTTCTGCTTTGGTTCATCCCTGGCTTTCTCAGAGTCTGCCTGAGAGCAGACTAGTTTCAATTTCAAAGCCATCCGAGCTCTCGGGCTGTGTGTCGGACTGTCATCAGCAGGTGTGCTTGATCTACACAGAGGTGACTGGAGTATTTGATGTTTGACGACGGCTGGAGT